ACAAACGAGGTTCCCGCCTGAGACTTCCTCCATACCCAAGCCTGAGGAGCCCAAAAGTGACGACAGTTACAGGTTGCCGATGACCCGCTCGGATTACCAACATGAAGTGCGGACCCCATAGGGAATGGGCTCCAGCTTGAAACTTCCTCGCGATTCACTCACAGACGATGCTCCGTCCTGAGACTTCCTCCACACTCAAGCCTGAGGAATCCGAAAGTGACGACAGTTGCAGGTTGCCGATGACGCGCTCGGATTACCAACATGAAGTGCGGGCCCCATAGGGATGGGGGCTCCCGCCTGAGACTTCCTTGCAATTCACTCACAGACGAAGCTCCCGCCTGAGACTTCCTCCATACTCAAGCCTGAAGAACCCAAACGTGACGACAGTTACAGGTGTCCGATGACCCGCTCGGATTACCAACATGAAATGCGGGCCCCATAGGGACAGGGTTCCCGCCTGAGGCTTCCTCGCAGTTCACTCACAAGTCAGGCTCCCGCCTGCGACTTCCTCCATACTCAAGCCTGAAGAGCCCAAAAGTGACGACAGTTACACGTTGCCGATGACCCGCTCGGATTACCAACATGAAACGCGGGCCCCATAGAGAGGGGGCTCCCGCCTGAGACCTCCTCGCAATTCGTTCACAGACGAGGCTCTCGCCTGAGACTTCCTTTATACTCGAGCCAGAGGATGACCCGCTCGGATTAGTAACATGATTTGCGGGGCCCATAGGGAGGGGTCTCCCGCCCGAGACTTCCTCACTATTCACTCACAGACGAGGCTCCCACTTGAGACATATTCCATCGTCAAGATGGGGAATGAATGATAACGCAGTGATGAGTGAATGATGATGATGATGATGATGATGATGATGATGATGGGTGAATGAGTGGTGATTATGAATAAGGATTCAGATTGTGCGTGAAAGCGTGTGAGCGTGTGGTTGATGAAGATGACGATGATGATCAATGAAGGAGTAAGTGGGTGTGAGCGATGCGGAAGAAGAGAGGGGATGTGGGTGAAGACTGCACGCGGTGTCCAGAGAAAATAAAAATAAAAAACCTAGGATGTGGGGAATTAGTATTACTACTACTAATAGTATTGCCCACCTCCTTATCATTGTTGTTTTTCTTATTATTATTCTGATTCGTGTTCTTCTTATTATTAATCGCATTCTTATTATTATATGGATCAGCCTTATTACGATAAGCATGTTTACAAATATTACTCTTTTCTACGTATTGTTATCACTATGATTACTATTATTACTAATAATCTGTTATTATTATTAGTATTATTATTATTATTATTATTATTATTATTAATATGTTTCGTCGTCGACCTCTCTCTCTCTCTTTCTTGCTGGGCACCGCCGGCGCGCCCAGACGCACGACGCAGCGCGGGATTCCCTCCGGCCGCGCCGCTGTCCCCGACGGGCGGCGCGCCGTTCGTGCCCCGGGTTCCCCGCCTCGACGCAGCGCGGCGGCAGCAGCCGCCGGGGGCCCGCGCAGCCCACCGACGAGGAGCTCATTATTTCCCAGAGGTGTTTCCCCTATCGCCCTCTGCCTCTCCCTCTGGGGGGGGAGGCGCAGGAGGAGGAGGAGGAGGCGGAGGAGGAGGCGGAGGACGAGGCGGAGGAAGAGGCGGAGGAGGAGGAGAGGGAGCGAGAGGAAGAGGAGGGAGAGCAGGAATGAATGATCAAACGTTGTTTTGTTACTCTCCTTCTCTCTCTTATTCTCTCTCTCTCTCGTTCGCGTTCTCTCTCTCTCTCTCTCTTTCTCTTCCTGTCGTTATGTTTATAGTTGTCTCTTCTCTTTCTCTCTCTTTCTCTCTCTCTCTATTTCTCTTTCTCTTTCTCTCTCTCTCTCTCTCGCTCTCTCTCTCTCTCCCTCTCTCACTTTTCTCTCTCTCTCTCTCTCTCTCCCTTTCCCTCTCTTACCGGGGCAGGAAGCGAAGACGTCGCTCCCCCCGCAGGGAGGCGGGCGGGTCGTCCCCGTCAGGAGGGGGGGAGGAGGGAGGGAGGAGAGAGAGGGACAAGCTGGGCGCGTTCGCGCCATCTCTGACGTCCGACCACTCCCACCCACACCTTCCCATGGCGCCGTGTTTTTAATATATATATATATATATATATATATATATATATATATATATCCGCCGACGAATGTCATGGCGGACCCAGAACTCCAAAGAGGACCCCATCGTGCTATGCGCGGGCGCACACAAGGGAACTGCACACATTGGAGGAGGAAGTGACGGATGGGCAGGAAGAAAAGGAGGAGGCGGAAGGAGGAGAACGAGGACGAATAGCAGCAACAGGAGCTGCAATGGAAGGAGCAGGAGGGGCAGGAGGACCAGGAGAAGGGGGAACGGGGAAATGAGATGGCGACAACGACGAGAAAATGATTCGGATCCAGGATCCAGAAAGTGGCCCGCGTTGCGGCGAGAGCGCCATTCTGAACGACGGGAGCAAAGCACCGATCCCAAAATTAAGCCCACGCTGCAGCGGGAACGCCATTCCGAAGCGCCGAGAACAATCCGATCGGCAAACATTAAAGTATAAGAGAAACCATTGGGTTTGACACCCTGCGCCTGCAAACCATCCGCTTAGAGGGCCGAATACCTTACTTATGGACAGCGTCGGGGAAGAAGGAACGTGTTTTTAACAAGTTGTATTTGTAAATGGGAGGTGACAAGGGGAAAAGCACGGACAGTGATAATGTTAGAAAAAGTACAGAGGATGAAGAAGGAGAAGGAGGAGGAGGACGAGGAGGAGGAGGAGGACGAGGAAGAGGATGAGATGAGATGAGACGGTTCCCATGGACGTCCAGGGAGGAAGGGGCCAGCCCGACACAAAATTGCGGGGGTGCACCATCGAAGATGATGTTTGCGACAGGTGCACGCCGCCCCACTAGGGCCTCCGACGGGCCTCTTCACGAGCTCGGTTCGCTCGTGGAGGCGGGCCAATCGAGCTTCATACGGGACCACGCTGTCCAACGCACAACTGGCACTGCTGGTGACGGTGGTCCTGGACGCGACGCCCCGAACGGACGCGACCGACGCGCCGACGCGAGGTGCGGGGATGGCCCGCTCGATCAACGCACGGATTCGCGGGTCGGGGGCCAGCCCCCGCCGAAAACGAAACCAAATCATTTCGCCTGTGCGCGTCGGGAGGCACAGGCCCTGGCCAGTTCAATGGGTCTCTCCTGACTCAACCCCCCAAACTCGACGCGCAGCAGGGGCCCGCGCCTAGCCCCCTCACTCTCGGCACTGCAATTCACGGCGCGCAGAGGAGCAAGGCGAGAGCCCGACGCGGCAACCAGCTGGTGCCCAGGAGGGTCTTCCGCGAGGGTCTCCAGGAACGACGGAGCCCCGAGGCACCCATTCATCAGCAGATTGCGGCAAGAGGGCGCGACCTTGAAACACACGGCACATTGCCAGCCCAGTTCACTCCACCCCCGAGAGCGCCGCCCCTCCCGACGAGAATTAGCGTTGCGTCTCAGCACCGCAGGCCGGCGCCAGCGCCGGGGGCCGCCCTCGAGGAAAACATGGGACAGCCCCAGCCAGAGCAACAAAATCGGCAACCAGACCCCCCGAGAGATCGAGCGATGCCAAAAACTCAAGTGCAGGGGAAGGGTGGAGGCTGGAGGCGAGCTTCGCATGATGATCAGCGATCCTGTTGGCCTCAGCCCAGTGAAGCCCCTCGGCATCGAGACTCTCGATCTGCTCCCGCGAACGATGAGCCTTCGCGTGACGAACCGAGATGAACCGATGGCCCTCGAGGCCACGACCGAATTTTGATATCTACCTGCAGCCTGGTTGGATGCACGCAATTGATTGGGCGCAGGCTGCTGGAGTCGGCGGATCGCCGCAGCGCAGCCACTGCCAGCCAGGGTCTCTCGGTCGGCGATCAGACCAATCAAACAGAGAGCAACGCTCTCGGCGACGCCAGGAGTCTGAGGGGGGCACCCAACCACAGGCCCGCGCATGATCGCGACGGGCACGCGAGATGCAGGGAGAAAAAAACAATGCACCAGGACGCGCGCTCCAGATCAACGAAACCTGGCCGCGCGCACGACCCATCGCGAGCGACGTCCAGTCTCGGCCCCCCGACAAGCGACGCGACGCCGTCGACCTCCACGTCTCGCGCCCCTACCCCCCCCAGGGGGCCTTCGAGAACCGCCTGATCTGCGCGGGAAGGGGGCGGCGCGCCCCTTACACCATACACAAACACTCATTGCACAAAGATTGGATCATCTGACTCAAGGCCAGCCTGCAAAAGCAGCGCACTGACCATGAACTCGGCACGAGCGGCAACTACCTCCGGTAGCGCGCGCTCGCGCAGGCAATGCTCGAGAGTCTGTTTCTGGCCACGTACGAGGAGACCGTCTCAGGGGTCTCCGGCAGCTTGGGCACGGGCCTTGGCCCAGCCTCCGCAGCAAGAGCAGACCCTGACCAAAAAATTCGCGGGGCCGGAAAACCGACGCGACCGATCACCGAGGACGGATCGAACGAAGTCGAGCGAGGCCCTGGATCCTTCTGGATCCCCCAGCTGCGCGGCTAAAGAAAGCTCACGTTGCCCTTGAATTCCTGCTAACATGAGGACGGAAAACATGCTGGGGGGGGCGTGCGACTGACATCTATGGTGGAACCCCCCGCGGTCCGCCCATCTAGTCGCACAGAGCGCGCCCCGCCCAGCACGACGCACAGCAAGGAAAGCACGACGAAGCGGCCCGCGACTACGCGGCCAGCCCCTGGCCCCGCAGGGCTCGGCGCCCCGCCAAAGCCGAAGCAGACGCGCGCGAGTGGCCGGCGAATGGCCGCCGACCTCAACCTGCCAAAGCATCCTGCAACGCTGGATCGCAGGCGCGATGGCCGACGCCCCCGCCCCATCGCCAAGCAGAACCGCTTTGCTGGCGAGGCCAACGCCACCATGCTCAGGGAGCTGCCCTCGCGCCACGCCCCGACGGCACTGGATCCACTCCGCGCTTCAGTGGCCGACGACCTCGTCGCCGTAGGTGGCCTCGGCCATGGCGCCAGCGCGGGCGACTGCGCCGATGGACTTGGCATTGTGGCCATTGATGACCTTGCCGAAACGCTTGAGCGTCCGCATGCGCCTCCCCATGTCCTGACGACGCTTGGCCCGCTTGAGGGGCGCCCCCCCCCCCCCCCCCCCACTCCGCGCTTCAGTGGCCGACGACCTCGTCGCCGTAGGTGGCCTCGGCCATGGCGCCAGCGCGGGCGACTGCGCCGATGGACTTGGCATTGTGGCCATTGATGACCTTGCCGAAACGCTTGAGCGTCCGCATGCGCCTCCCCATGTCCTGACGACGCTTGGCCCGCTTGAGGGGCGCCCCCCCCCCCCCCCCCCTTGCGGCGGCTGCCCTCGCTGGCGCCCTTCCCGAAGTAGACAGCGCTGCGGCGGGCAACTGAAGCTGGGGGCCCGAGCGCACTCGCGAAATCCCACGCGAGAGACAGAGGCCGGCGCCCACCATCGCGAGCATGCCAGTGACAACCGCATCGGGCTCATGCACAGCGCGCCTGATATCAACCATGGCCGCCACCATCACGGGGGAGGTGATGCTCGCAGTAGTGGGCGCCACACGCGTTGAGCTGCCATCTATGTAGCTGACGAGCTGGGCGCGCGGCTGCCCGGCCACAAAACTATCGCACTCGCGAGCAGACCAAACTTTGACCGCAACATCGCAGAAAACGCCATCAGCAGGGAGACCACAAGCTGCACAAGGAGGCCCATCCGCACGGTGACCGCTGAGACGCAAGACACGTGGTGCACGCCACATGTCGTGCACTAACTTGAGGGAGGACGTTGGCGACCGGAACCTGATAAACTTGTTCCGTAAGTCAGTCCAAAAGAAATCCGTCCGCTGTACTTGTCGAAATCAGCCGCAGCCAGCGCGCCGTGATAAGACTGCCGCTGGTCTGTCTCGCCCTCGGCTGCCTGAACCCACGCGCAATCAGCAGACGAACGCCCTCGCGCCGCGCCCCTGTAGGGGCGGCCAAAATGTAGCCGCAGCTCACGAAGCACCCGCCGACGCAGGCGCTGACAGACACGGTAGAGCCCAGCGCAGAGCACCACCAACCGATCGCCCGTGCCCGACGTCTTGGCATGGGGGTGGCGAGCCAACATAGCTGCCTCGGTGGGAGGCCGTCTGGCTCCATCGCTAGTAATAACAAGCAACAAAAACAAGCAAACGCAAAACAAGCACCTCAAGAGCCGGACCATCCAGCAACTGGAAGTGACGGGGGCGAAAATCATCGGGCGCCGGAAGAGAACAACTGAGCCACGGCGCGAATATCTCCGGCAGTCGTCCTCTCCAGCGAAGAGCGGTCAGGAATCCAAGCTGGCGCGGGGCGGGAAGTGGACCGCAACCTCTTATATTACTCAAACTCACGCCGCGCTACGACGTGGGCGTGAGCAGACGGCCCGCGAGCGGCGCCGACCACCGCGGGCTGCGCGACGCTGCGAAACTCGGTTGTGCGGCGGAGGACCCGCGCTAACCTCGAAACAGCCATCGCGCACCAGTTCTTCCACGTCTGGTGGTCCCCGTTGGAGGCGCCGGGATGCGAGCTGGACGTCGGGCTCGATATCGCCCGAGGAATCGCGGCTGGCCTCCTCGCTGAAACCAGACTGCACCGGCGCGCGCCTGCTGCGAAGAGCGGCCACGCCGCGTCGACTGGCCAAGCCCGCGGTAAGCAACCGTGGATAACGCGAGGGTCTCTTCTGCATACAGGGCCATGTCCTGAGGGAAAGGGCTGGCAAGCCGCTTGAGAGCAATGAGACGCGGCAGTGAATGTTGCAACCGCTGCCAGCCCTCGGGGGGCACCTGCAAGTCCGACGGATCTGCGATAGCGCAGCTGAAACCAACCCATCTGGGCCGAAGCGGCCGTGCGAAAGATGGGGCATTGCCATGCTCGTGGCCGACTGCGGCCGCGATGGGCTCGGCGGCTCGCACTGCAAGGTGGCCCCGGGCAGAAAACAGAACGCCCCATCCAACGCCGGGGGCGACACTCTCATCGGCACATGCCACCACCGCAGCCTCAGCCAAACATAGCGCGGCATCCCAAGGCGGCGAAGGCAACTGCGGGCCGGCAATGACCTGCGTGCCCATCCTTGGCGCGACAGCGTACACCAGCTCATTGACGTGCTCGGCCTCGCCTTCCAGTGCTAGCTGCACTGGGCGGCGGCCTCGCTTCGACCACTTGGCATCGCAACTGGCACTGGAGTACGTCCTCATGGCCGCCGAGCTTAGCAGGAAGAAATTCATGATCGAGTTGCAAGTGCCGCCTCTGGACGCAACGGTGGTGGCACACACGGTAGATCAACCAACATGAGCAAGGAACTGGCTGGTTTCGAACTCCGCTGCGGGCATGTTCCAATCGCGGCCAGTTGTGGCGGGGCCGCCCAGGGCCTCAGCTGCCAACCCAAGCACCTGCAACAGACTGCCACTGCGCCCGCCTGCCCCCCCGCCCGCGACGAGGTAAACGCTGATAGATCGATGAAAACGTGCTGAAGCCTGCTCGGGATCACCACGTGCACTCCAAGGGCCGGGGGCCCGACGCAAAGGCTGTCGCGAACTGCAACCAACGCCTGCAGAAGGGGCCGCGCCGACGGCGGGCGCGCTCGGAAGCGCCATCGAGCGCCGACCTCTGCCAGCACACATGAATCCAAGGCCTCGACGCGGTCGGCAACGTGCCCGAACTCCTGCAGGAGAACCACGCTCGCCGTAGCAATGGCGAGCCCCCGCTTGACAGACGACTTGCCACCGCAGACACTGTACGTCTCGATACTGAACGCAGCAGCGGGTGGGGGGCCTTGACCCAAGAGGAAGAGCACGATCATGGCCAGGCAGACCGCGCACGTCAGGCCAGGCACCTTCCGCTCGTCGAAGTCCGCGCGCGCGACCGACATCGCCTGGAAACGCACCACTCCGAGGCACAGCAGCAGCAAAACATGACAACGCTGAGCCTGCTAGCCGCAATGGCACACCAGGACTTTGCGATCTAACGCCCGTGACGACCGAGCCAGGCAGCCGCAATGGCGCACCTGGACTTTACAATCTAACGCCAGGGCCAAACCTGATCCCGAGCACGCTTGGCCGCCACTTCGGACCACATTGCGTCGAAGGCCTGCGTGAAGGCCTCGACACCGCCCTCCTCGCGGGAGCGAAAGAGGAGCAACTTCTGCTCATCTGCGGGCGCCACCAACTCAACTTCATCGTCGCCATCGCTGGGGACCGCCTTGTCTGCGGCATCGTCCGAGGCCTCGCCGGCAGCACGAACATGATCCCCATCAGCACTCCGAGCAGCGTCAGACTGAGCAGCACTCTTGGCCGAGGAAGCAGCCTTGAGCTTGGTCCACTGCTCAGACTTGAGAATTTGGACGAGCTCGGGCTGGTCGGCGACATCGGCCTCATCGATGTGGAGGGCGTCCAGCGCGCCGACTGCGCCGACTGGGGCACCCGTGACACTTCTGACGGACTGGCTGAACGCCTTGTCCACCGCGAGGACATCCAGCTTCTTCGCCTCGATCGCCTCCTTGCGATGCTCGATACCCTTCGCCAGCTGCGTGAGCTGGTCCTGCTTCTCGAGCAGCTCCTTCTCCATCTTCTTCAGGCTGGTCTTCGCATGCTGCAGGTCTTATTGCGCACGACGGTAAGGGCCTGAGGGGACAGCAGCGCGCGCCTCTCTGCACGCAGCTCCGCCAACTGCTTCTCGGTAGGACCTCGGGGGTCCTTGCTGCACTCATCAGCTGCAGGAAGCTTCTTGAGGGGCTCCTCCAGTTCGCTGATACGCTCGCCAATCTTGATGGTCTGCAACTTCTGTGACTCGCCCCCACCTGCACCTGGACCGGCATCATCACCCGACTGCCATGGGGGCGGCTTCCCCCGAAGCTTAAGCCACACGGCATCGGACGGCGCCAGGCGCTGCCCGATAGCCTGCATCCAGGCGAACAGCTCCTTCGGGATGCCAGCACCTCCACCCGCTGGTTTCTTGGACGCTGCACGCCGGCCGCCTCCGTCCGCGCCTTCGGCCTCCTTGTGGCTATGGCGCGCACGGGCGGGCACTGGACGCGGGAAGCCCAGTTTCCCGTGCGGCCGCACTGCCCACAGCTTCAGTGGGGCTTGCGCGGGCCGCGGACCACGGTGGCCGCTGGCGGCTGCGGCACCATGCCTGGGCTGGAACAGACGCACCAAGGCGGGGCGGACCACCTCGAGGCTCACCCTGGCGCTGACCAGGGGAAGGAATGAAGACTGGCCGCGGACTAGCGGTATCCACATGTTCCCCTGTGGAACAAAGCATCTTGAGCCAAAATGGCTAAGGGACGAGGATGAGGAGGAGAAGGAGGACTGGGGGGAGGAGGGAAGAAAACGACGACGATGACGCCCTCGCCGATGACGACTGCGGAGACCACCCCGACGCCGACGCTGATGCCGCCGACAGCGCCGGTGACGGGAACAGTGACAGCATCGACGGCAGACACGGCGACGGCGGCGGCGGCCACGCTTCCTTGGAGCCCCTGGACCGCCAGGACTCGCCAGTACACCCGACTGAAGCATTGAGCTCGTGGCCGTCGCGCTGCGACCAGCCGCCGGTGGGGGACCTCACAGCCGACGGCGGCGGCTGCGGCGACGGTCACGGCGACGGCGACGGCGACAGCGACAGCGACGGCGACGGCGACGGCGACGGAGATGGCGACGGCGACGACGGCGACGATGGCGACGACAACGACGACGACGACGACGACGACGACGACGACGACAGAGTCCAGTGGCGGCGGCGGCGTCGGCCGACGGCGGCAGCGGACAACGGCGGCGACGGTCGACGGCGACATCGGCGGCGGCGGACGACGGCGACAGCCGACGGCGGCCACGGCGGCAACGACGATGACGACGACGGCAGCGGCGGGGGCGGACAGAATCCCCGAGGCAGACCCTCCGCCCGCGCCCCGCCCTACCGCTTCCACCTCCCTGCTCTAATCCCCTCCCCTCCTCCCGGATCTTTCCGCACCCACTCCTCATGCGTCCCATCCCCCTCTGTTCTTAAGGGGCAACGTTACAGTCGGACCCAGGACAAGAGAAAATCCTCAAGCACACGGGACCCTCCGCCAGCCAGAACACGCAGAACAGCGAAGGGTCTCCTCCCCTGGATGCGGATGCACGCGAACATCCAACAAACAAGAAAAAAACACTAGGGCACCCTCCCCGAACCGACCTCGATCGCATTGACGGCCTACCAGACCACCCCAACCCAACCCGAAGAACCGAATTTCGGGTTGGGGGGGTACGGGTTCCATACGTGTTTTTTCGTTGTTCCCTGGACCCCCCCCACTGGAAATGGAGGGCAAATTGGGGCCTTCGGGTTGGGTTGGGTTGGTTTGGTGGGTGGTGACGCGTACCTCGGCCCGACCGTCGGGGAAGACCAGCTCGGGGAGGGACACGCCAGCCCGGAATCGAGATGACACGTCGCCGACAGATCGGCGATGGGCCCCCGACGGCAGGTCCGCAAAGTCCTGGGCGGGGAGAACCCAGGCCGCGAATAATCGGCAGCAAGTGGCCTCCTCCTCCTCCTCCTCCTCCTCCTCCCTCCTCC